TCTATTGAAGATAAATTTCACAGCAAAATGATATTTTTAACGGATTTGTGCATAAATGCTTCATTTCTTGAAAGCAAATATTAATGAAGTAAAAAATAACTAAACAAAAAAGTGCTAAATCAGTTTTTCGAAATTCAGTAACTTCAATAACAAAAAAGTATGACAGAATCGTTTCCTTGAATAAAAAAGCAAATTTCACAATTATTCCATGAACAGATTTATTAGCGATGACAATAGCAGTAAGTATTTGCCAAAAATTCCTTCGTTGAAGTATATTTCGAGTATTTGAATTCCTTTTTATCGTTTATATCTACGTCAATTGTTGCTGTTATGCAACAATTGACGTAGGTATAAACGATAAATAGACTAATAAAAATAAGATGCTGAAAAGGAAAAAAACTTAGTAATTGTTTAAATTTAAAATAAGAACCGAAAATCTTTTAATCTTTTTTCTTTTTCACTTTCGAAAATGTAATACAAAAATACTGTCACCGCATTTCGTGCTTGTTTATTGAAGTGCAGCTAAGGATATTAAATAATGGTGAGCAGAGAACTTCGAGAATAGTAATTTTTGAGGAACAGTAACTTTTACATATAGTAACTTTTGAGGGACAGTAACTTTCACATTTAAAAGGCGTTTTACAAAAATCCATAAAAAATTAAGTTGAAAATTTCCAAAAATTCAATACAAATGATGTAGAAAATGTATACGAAAATATGCAACCTAATGATATAATTATTTTTTTAATTTTCAAAAACTTTTAGACATGCAATGATCATCACTCATTGACAATATATCAGATTTGTGCCAGCCTATTTTTTTGTGATAACTGTTTTTGATTAAACAAACAAACAAAAAAGAAGAAAAGGAGAACAAAAACATCTTTGTTATGGTTAAAAATTTCAATTTTAGCAACTATTATTATTTGATTTATTAGTGATATTACATAACAAATTTCTTCCTAATTTTTATGAAATCGTTCTGAAAAAAAAATGGAAATTATTCTTGTCGTTAAAACTATTTCCCTATCAGAAGTTTCTTAATGTAACCATGAGAAAATCTAAATGTTCCATTAAGAGCCTTTAAAAATTTTAAATTGTCCTTTAGACATTTCAATTTCAGTTTCTGCTCTATCCAACTTTTCTCCATTTATTTTCTGCTGTTCTCCTATTCTGGCCAAGATGACAGGATGTGCTGCTTTGATGACAGATATCAAATTATTCAATCCATTGCTGTTTTGGGTTTTTAAATCGTTAGCATCTTCTCTTTCATCTGAATTTTTCAATGGATGTGTCAGATAATGATTTAATACCATCATTTTTCGCCATGGAATGAAATATTGAGATGAATTTTGTGAGAGAAAATACTGATTGATTTTTTAATCGGTAAATGTTTCTTCATGTTGTTGTAATCATTGCGGCACATTTCAGAGATTCCTCAGGTACCAAGGACGATTGTTTCATTTCATAAAGTGAAATTTATAACAAATAGACATGATAGAATTTTTATCATAGCCTTGTCTGACAATTGCTTGAATTAGGAAGCGAAGATGGCAGAAGATTTAATGATAAAACCAATCTTATCACTAGATTTGTTTACTAGAAAAATAATATTATTGAAGAAGTGATAGATTTTGTGGCAACATTGGCTACATTTTCAAATGCCGGTGATTAGTAGATGGTTAGAAAAAGAAATGAAATTGATTGAAAAGTTCAAAGTTGGAGAAAATAATGATTGCATGGAAGTGTAGTATGTAAGAAATTTAGACATTAGCTTGATATGTTCCTTAAATGACTTCATTTTTAATTTGAACTATAAAATTTAAAGTGAATTTTTGATCAACATTATCCCTTCTGCGAAATTTATTCAAGGCAATTTTTTTTTGAGTTGATCTTAGAGTGTTTTATATTGCACAGAATAAAGTTCAGAAATTGCTGAACAGTTCAGAACAATTCATTTTCAGATCTTTATCTTTCTTTCTTCGTTTCTTTTGCTTTAATACTTATTAAAATAGTTTCTAACAAAATTCCCCAATATATTACAATAAGCTTTTATTCTGCCTTTGTTTGAGAAATAAATTTAATTTGAGGAGTAATTCTCATTTGATAGCTATTTCAGATGTAATAATTCGAGCAAATATATAATTACATTTTATTGCGTTTGCTTAATATCGAATAAATATTTTCTCTGACTCAATAAAAATATTTTAGCGGCTTCAGCTATAATTATATTATTTATTCTGATCTGGAAGTAAGTGCGATAAAATTCCAGCAGGTACTAAATCTCATTAACTTTAATACTGTCTCCTTGCTTAACTTTGCTAATAATTAATCTGAAAATTATTCTTTTGGGGACTTACACATGACGGATTTGGAAAAAAAAGGAAATTATAAAATCAATTGAAATCCCTCTATTCATCATCATCATTATCAATGCCTTCTGTGTTTCATTTGTGATTTTATTTATATCGGTCTATAATCAATACCAATTAGAGATGCACAATCAATTCAGAATAAAAAGTAAATAAAAGACGAGATATCATCTGTAAATAAACTCATATGTGGTTGAATTCATCGGCACCAAATATCTGCAAAGTGGTTTAATCAATACGTGGTAACTTAGATTCATGACACAAATTCTACAAAACTTTTCTCTAAAGTGCAAAGAGTTTTTTATGCTTATCTGTATGCTTATCATAAAAAATTGAAAATACTCCTTTTCTGCTCGAACTGTCGATTTACACATTTGTGATTTCATCTGGAGTGGACAAAACCATTTTTTATTAATCAAATATAGCGGGAGAAGAAATTTTCAAGTCAAAAGCTTAGCCACACAGGCAATGCAGGCATTGCAAGCTACTCTTACTAATTACAGCAGTGTAATAAATAAGGAAGTTGCAGAAATTAAATTCTCGCAATTTTCTAAAATATTAAACAAAAGCTAAAACAAATTCAATCTCTAAACGGCAAAATGCCTCCGACGCAATGTATGGTTAATTTAAAAATTCAAAAAATTAAAATCTAAAATTTTGGTCTGTCCACATTTTTGATATATTATTTCTTTACGCATGATAAGCTTATATTTGCACAATGATGATAATGCAATTATCCTGACAGAGAGAAAATTTAAATCAGTTTGAAAGTAATAAGTGAACCTACTTTGAAAATGATTTAAATTCATCCACATCAGGCAAATATATATATATATATATATAAAGCTTATGCTGGGAGCAGAAATAATCTTTGAGCGGCGATAAAGATGATTTGATATGTAGAAAGTGTCATTATGATTTCAATTCTTTAGTGTAATAAATGGATCATCACAAACAGATTTTTAATTGTGTTTCATAGTGAAAAGGAAACTCCGAGATATAATATTAAATTTGCCGGATTCAATTTCATGTTCAATTGTTACAGAACTGATAACGCATGAGAAATACGAGTTTTGAGATTTTCAGGTGCTCTCATTAACTGATATGTTTTTATTGAATCTATGAATGTCATTGATCAACTGTTGATATCATAATACTTCAAGGTAGTTACCTAATCCAGAACAGATATAAGTCTCATTAGATAAACTTCCGATTAGTAGTTACCTAAATATTTGTAATGAATTAAAAGTCAGAACTTGCTCTCATTCATTATTCTACTGGATCTTTATTTCAAAAAAGATTAAATAAAAGTCCAAAAAAAAACCTTTGAAAACTTCAGGAAAAAAATAAAGATGAATTCAAAGACTATAAAGAGGATAGCGTGATCTAAAAGATATCATAATTAAGTTAGATTAAACAATTATAACTTCAAAATAATCATGAATTTTCAAGCCTTCAGCAATATACTCATAATTTTACAGAATTTTCATGCTTTTGATAAGCTAAACTCACAAATAAAAGAAAAAAAGAAAAGCATGAATAAATGACTAGCCTTATAAATCATAAAATCATGAATATATTTTTGTAAACAATTTAATCCATTTTACCAATTTTATAGTAGCAAATCAGGCTCAGAAAATTTCGAACTGACAGAAATATTATGCTAGGGCATAATTTTCCGATATGTGGCTGAAAAGCTTTCTGTTCCACTGGTTGTTTCGGCACGCACTTTCATTACCATATGATTGAAATCCAGAATCTCGAATCGTCGTTCGAACTATAAATGAAAAATTAAACTGAAATGCCCATAACTTAAACGTCAAATCAGCGAGAAAAAGACAATTTTTAACAGCAGAAAGAAAGTGAAACAATTACACTCCGTCAGTGAAGACATGAGCATTCTATGCAGTTATTGTGACATTATGTGCAAGACCACTATAGAAACGAATAATTTCATTATGTTTCATTGCATTTTCTATTTTTGCTTCAGTTAAATATCAATAGGTTTGCTATCATTCACAAAATGAAAAGTAAAAAATGTGTCAGTGTATTCAAATATGGAGAAGAATAAATCATTGCGTTTTTTAATCAGAGTATTGATATTATCAACTAAAGTAAGTTAATGTTTAAAGTGTTATTTAGATGCTCATGCACAAAATATTTACAAAGCAAATTTTTTTATAAAAAAGGAATATAATATAAAAAGAGTTACCTCCCGAATATCTAACTCAATACCACTACTTCCAACTGAAAATGTTCGACGCAGAAATTGTTTCAAGTGGAATGTAATTTTACGGCCTACAACTGTTCCTTGTTCCATCATCGAGTAACCTATAAGATAAATAAATAAATAAGA